TGCAAACTGGACAACTTCTAATGCACGGGCTACGTAAATCACGGTGTATACCTTTTCCTCTGGTTCCAAATATTTTGAATCTTATTGCGGATCTTGGGATCATGGATGTCATAGAAAACGTCATTGGTAGCACCGTATATTGTTGTCTCAGTGTTTTGGACATTTTCAATTGGTTTTTTCAGGGCCAACTTGGTGTATCTTCCACCGTCCGCACATTTGAAGGTTCTACGGATATAATTCTTGACCATATTTGCTCTAGAACAAACGAGAATATGTACAATACAATGTTAATTTCTGGTAGAACGTATTATGTTCCAGTTGGCCACATCATATACGTTCTAGATGCCTCTGTACGTATTTTTACCGGTGCGTTTTCATTACCTACTTGAAATTCTAAGATAAGAATAAACCAGGCTTACCTTCACATCAACATCTTTCTCTCTTACGGTTGAACATTCTCAATGCAATATTATTCACTGTAATCACTAATCATTGATTAAAATCCAAACTTCTGTCACTTGGTGTTATGATACATTTGTAAAAGTAACAAATTTCAATGTTTTTCTCAGAAACAAAGCTGTTTTCTCGCGTTCACTTTTTTGAAACTGGTTCAAAACAGATTTGAAACACTATATTCTCGCGATGAACCTATGACGTCACATCAAAATTGGTTCAAATCGTTTCGAAATACAATACATTTTTCGTTTTAAAACCATTTTCACGCGCCGAAAGGTTATGACGTCATTGTGAAACTGTTTTAAAACCAGTTTCGGAAAATGTTTCAAAACTTTGAGACGCGAGAAAATACCTCTAATTCAGGATATAAATGCATATAAATAAACACTTGTAACGAATTTTTATGCGTGGGAAATTCAAATTTCAATAACAAGCCAAAAATTGGCATATGGCCTAGTTAAATCGCTGTTCAAGTTAACCAACTTGACCCTTCTTGAAAATACTGGGGAATACAAGGGGAAATACTTGGAAATACTGTCCAAATTTTAGAAGTATTCCCAGAAACTGAAAATCACTGTACGTTTTTTCGTGAGTGGTCCACCCCTCGATATTTCCTAACTTTGACGAGCCGCCATTTTGGCAGGGATTATTTACCCTGCCGCAACTTAAAATTTTGAGGATATTTAATCTTAATAAAACTTTCCTTCAAATGACGTATCACTCGACCCCCCTTTCTATTTGAAATTTTGGGTAAGGGGGTGAAAATACCAATAAAATGGTCGAGCGATTTTTGGTTATTCACCTAACATCTGAGAAAACCTAGGTGGGAAGTTTTTGGTGTCCCGCCCTGTATACAATACAAGGTGTCCCACGACGTGCCGCATCTACATGCGTCATCAAATTTCACTTTCACTTCAGTTTTGGTCAAGTGACGGCAACTTTCACCTGGGTAAAATGTCGAGGGACACCCTGTATATAAAGGGTGGAGCACGAAAAACGTCCCACCTAGGTTTTCTCAGGTGTTAGGTGATTAATCAAAAATCGCTGGACCATTTTATTGATATTTTCACCCCCTACCTGTCAACATCCAAGCAGGGGTGACAGGTACCACCAAAATTTCGAACAGAAAGGGGGGTCGGGTGATATACGCAATTTGATAAAAAAATTTATTGAGATTTTTATCCTCCAAATTTTGTCACCCTGCTGCTGTTACTGCTGCTTGTCAAATTTAGGAGATAGTACATTGTATCACTCGAACCCCCTTAAGCGGGGGTGACAGGTAGAGGATGAAAATACCAATAAAATGTGTCCCTCAAAAAACAAAAAATAACGTGTCCGAGCGATTTTTGATTAATCACCTAAAATCTGAGACAAGAACTGAGAAAACATAGGTTGGAAGTTTTTCGTGCCCAACCCTGTATAACTTAAAAACTGGTAGGTATGTTTTCATCCAAAACAATCAATAAACATTCACTAAAACCTTCAGTAGGACACTTTATCTTACTTCCGTTGTCTTTCGAGGTGTCCACTGGCGGCCATTTTAGAAAATCGCCGCCACGGCCGCCGGGGGGCCAGTTGGCCGATGGCTCCACATCCAGATTTGTTGATATTACATCGGTCTGTGCCTTTATCAAAAAATGCACAATATGTTGAAATATCCTAGCTAAGCTGCCGCACTACGGCTTTATCAGCGTCTTAAGGTTCAATTTTTTTTTCGACAGCTGGAGTTATTCCAATTATTTCTTAAGCTTTCTCAATTAGCTCAGCAGTTTCTTCAAAAGCAGCGCATTTCTCTTGAATTTCTTCGAGAAAGAGAAGAGCTTCAGTTTCATCTACTGCAACTTCAATTATTGTTTCCTCAAAAATGTCTTGTAAGGCTACAGCTGAAATTTCTTTCTTTAAAGATTCGATTTCTGCTTCTTTGGAAACTTCTGTTGAATAGACCGTCAGATAGTGACAGATTCAGGTACCCCATCGTAGAGGGTTGAAAAGTACCTACATCGATTTTAAGTAGAATGAAGGGAAATTTACGAGTGGCTCTTGGGGATAACATATGGAATACCTATTCGATTTTACTTATGTTACTCCAAAATATACTTTTTCATTCGTGCCACTCAAGCCAATATGTGTTTCTTGCTTCCAACCTTGTAAATTTTCATCCTTCCAATGGGGTTTTGCGGAAAAATCGCCCAGAATCTCGATTTTCCTTATGCCCTTATTTCAATCCGTTAGCCTCCAACCCCCTCCTTTATTTTTACGCTCTATCAATTAATCCTCTGGTGAACAGGGCTTGCGAGGAAATATGGGCAACAAGACTCCTTTCTTCTGTGTTACGGAAAATCGGATTTTCCATATGTTATCCCCAGGAGCCACTCGTAAAAATCCCTCCATCCTATGCAAAATCGATGTATTTTTCAACCCTCTTTGAGGCTTGTATGCGAAAATGGGGCACCTAAATCTCTCACTATCTGAGGGTCTAGAAGCTACATCTGTCACTGGGTAACTTGCTTCTTCTGAAAATCCTGAAGCCTCAAAGTAGTTTCTAATTTGTTTATAACGTTATGATTAATCTTAGCTTTGGTAAATTCCTTAAAAGTCTCTATTTAAGACTTAAACATCAATGGAGCAGATTCTTGTAAATGTTCTATTAAATACTCAGCTATATTTACGTTAGTAGATGGTAGCGCATCAGCTATTCCTTCGATTTTCTCAAAATTGTTATGAGTAGCTCTAAGCATTTGATGATTTGTTCGGTAGAGGCATTAAATGTTTCCTTAGGATTCAATGCTTGTGCAAATGCTTGAATTTACAGCTGATATTTCTGGTATGAATTCTGATGATACTATTACAGTTTCTAAGATAACTCTGGCTCTTTCCATAGTCTCTTCAACTTCTCTTTTTTCGGAAATAAGGCTAGTTCTTCGACAGTTTCAGCTCATTTGGCAAATTTTCCATCAATATTGCTTTCTAAACGTTATCTATAAGATTATTCATGGATTCTATCAAAGGAACTTGAATATCTTCAATTTCCAATTCCAACAACTCGGACAATTTAGGCAAATATTTAGAAAGATAGTTAACCATACCTAGTATCCTCAACAGCTCTTTCTTATTTTTAGGTTCTTCTAGTGCTAGAACAGCCTTTACATACTCAGGATCAGGTCGTACACCATCTACTGAGAAAACCTGACCTATATAGCAAACCTGTGAAACTTTGTATTATTGAATTTTACTCCATATTTATATGCCCGTTTAATCATCTCCGCAAGAATCCTATCATGATCTTCCTCATTTATTCCCCCTATTATAAAATCATCAAAATATATCCCGACAGGCAAATCTCCAAATATTTTGTCATTTATTTTTTGGAAAACTTCAGGACTCACACTTAGCCCAAATGGGAGTCGATTAAAATAATATTTGCCAAAAGGTGTTATGAATGTACATAATTTTCTACTTGCAGCATCAAGGGGAACATGATAAAATCCTTCCTTTAGGTCTAAAACTGTGAAAATCTTTTTGTCTTTTAACTTTAGTGTCAATTCCTCAACTGTTGGTATCGGATATTGATCAAAACATACATACTTATTCAAATGAACGGGATCAGGTATGCAATTGCAATTTGCGCCTGTATCAAGCTTGAAAGTAACAAATTCATTATTAATTATCAAGTCTGATGTCCAAATTTCCTTATTTTGCCTATAATTTATATTATCTAGCACTACTGAATCTATATATGGACTAGATGAAGCTTCACTCTTCTCAGAACTACTTTCGCTACTACTTTCAACCTCATATACATATCTACGCTTTTTCTTTGTAAAATTCTTATCTCTAAAGTTCTTACCTAACTTGCTGTCTTTGATTTTACAACCAACAGCAAAATGGTTCATTTTGCCACATTTTGAGCATGTTTTACCATGCGCTTTGCAACTTTTTGATCCATGTTTTGTAATGCATTTAAAGCAATTATATTCCTTTTCTTATGTAGAACTACCATTACCTTTGTTAAACCTTATACTGTCTGCTTGTTCAGTATTTCTTAAGCCTTTCATTTGGTGTTTACTTGCTTCTGACATCCTACATTGAGCCTCTGCTAATTTAAGTGTTAAGTTTTCTGTTCTCAATAACCTCTCCTGCAATGCAAATCTTTATTTCTCAAAAGGGTAATCAAGCCCCAATTCACTTGGATTCCCTGTGATAAACTTCACTAGTTGGTGTTGATTCCTCTACATATTGTACATGTACAATCATCATCATGCATTGGAAATCCACAAATAAAAATAAAAATAAGTTATTCTCAATCCACTGACCACTATCATATTGTTGATTCCGAGATTACTTTTCGAACACAGCTTAAAACCTGCATTAAATTTCAATCTTCCAGCTTATCAAGATCGAAAACTAACGTCCTCTTTCGCGTCTTTTTGTGTTCGCGAGACCGTGTAAAACGGAGCAGTTTGTGTTTTCTGGGATGTAAACAATTAAAACCGGCCTCGAACTACTAAGACCAATTATTATTCATTCGATATTTTTGTTTTCAGATTTAAAATGCCTCACTAGGAAACGACTATGTTGGGCTACATGCTTCCGGTGGAGGACAAGCCTCCGCCGGGACCTAAGGGTCACCTCCAGCTAACGCTGGGTCATCAAAATGGACATCACACAAATTCGAATGGTACTCAGGTACTCACCAATGGCAGGAGTGCCACGTCGATAAGTAAGGAGACTAGTGTGAGTAGTTTTGTAAGTGATACTACTGCGACTGCTAGTCAAAGCTCTATGACTCCCACTAGCACGAGTACGGATAAGGGAAAACCGAAATTGACCATTAATGGAGGAAAGCACCAATCTTTGAAAAGGTAAGGAGGTAGTTGATTGAAGTGTCTAATTATTTGAAAATGGAGTAAGAGGAGGCTCAATTTTGGTCTGTAGGTAAGCTCCAATATTTGAGCTGAGTCAAAGTATGGAACATAAATACATACAGTAACAATTACCCACTATTCGAAATGTATGTGCAACATTCATTAAGTAATACCTTTTATAACTGTTTCAACCTTTTCTCACCTTGCAATAAAATTGCATATTTATGGCAACAAAAATAAATTTGTTAAAAATATCGTTTAACGATGGCGAATTTTTTTCAATGCAAAGTGACCTTGCCCAACATTTGCTTAACGAACCGTTTAGTTGAACAACATTTGTTTATTAGAGTTTTATTAGTTAATAAACCGGATAATATTAGAATTATTGCGTTGTTAGAAACCCTGCTATTACTTCAAAGATGTTGAAATTTCAAGTTTTTCCATGATGAGGTTTTGATCAAAAGATTATCTGGGATCGCCTAAATCGATGGGGTATTATTAGTTATTATGTGGTTTATAAAGCAGTAGGTAGTTTCCCAATCAGGAAAATATTAATCTGAGTCATTTGACTGAAAATAACCATCAAGGTCGCTACTAAATTGGAACGCTATTAATTTTGCATTTTTACACAATAGTCTATGAGGTGAGAAATGCATAAAATAAGTTCAAGTTCATAAAATTCTGTATATATGTACTAGAAAGCTAATTTTATAATTAGGTATATAAGTAAGTATGCAAACTTGATGTATATAATTTTTAGATTTTAAATGAAATAATCAATGTGCAGGCACCATTTCAATCATTCCCCATCACTCAACGATGCGTACATTAAAAACCGTCAATAAAAGTCAATCAAAACATCACTTGGCAATTGAGCCAAGAGCAACAAACAAAACGAGTCGATTTGCCAAAAAGGTTAAGTGCAGGGTCAAAGTGCTGGATTCCGAAAATAAATATTTTGGAAAAAATCCCCACACGTCAATGTGTGTACCTATCGGATGAGACGTGGATCACTTTTATTTTTGGATCCTGGGATGTTTTGTCAGACGGATTTTTGTTTGTTGATGTTTTTATGTGAGATTAAAAAATTAATTAAGTTTAAGTTTAATGAGCGTCTATTAGGCTTCCTCTTCTCACCCTGAATGTATTTTTAGGAAAACTTATAACATTTGCAAGAGCACTTTGGAGTTTTGAAACCGATTTGAAATCAGACTTAGGCAGCTTTTCAAGGGCCTCCTAAACTGATTCATCTGTACCAGTTTTCGATTTTTGTGAAAGTTCCTGATACACATTTTCAGTTTTCATATAGTTACTTCTTCAGCTCAGCTCTGTTTTCACATAAACCTTGAAAATCTTTTCTGTTTTCTTTTATAAGGGCTATGGGAATTAGAAGTTTTCCACAAGTCCAATTCTGAGAAAACTTTTGAGCCCTTTTTTCCATTGCTTGAGGCTGCAAATTGGTGAAAAAGCTCTGATCATTAATGATTCTGAGTCAGATTTGTCCAAATATCTCTACCAAGTTTATTTAATTTCATTTTAGAACAAATCCTTCCATTAGAGTTGAAAGACTTAGGACGCTTTTCATGCATAGTCCATCCTAGAAATTGGTAGAATTTACGGTTGAGACTCTCCAATCTCCACTCTCTGTAATTTAAGAAAATTAAGAAACCTTGCCTGAAATAAAAGAATATAAGAAAAATGGCTAAGAATGAAAAAAATCAAAAAATCCAAGAGTCTAGAATAAGGAAAATTCAAGAGCCTGGAATGAAAAAATTAAGAAAAATCGAGAGCCTGGAATGAGAAAATGATGATAATTCAAAAAAGGTTTCTTATCCAGGAATTTCTCTATTTGTGGTACAAAAAGCAACAAATGAATTTAAAATACGTTCCAAATGGTAATTCCACAGGAATTTTAATAAAATTGGAAAGGACTTGCAACAAGAATTGAGTTGCAAAAAAGTATCATAATAATTTAAATGCCTGATGCTATAATATTTCTATTCGAGTTTTCTATACATTTTTTCGTTTCATTCAAATTCAACTACGGTGGTCCATTCTGTTCTTTACAAAACACGAATCTTATTTTCTTTTCGAAACCGATTCGCTTCCATAACAGCCCATTGAAGAGGCTAATAAACCGCCAGGCAGACTTATTAAATTACAATTTGCGGGCGGTTTGATATCGAATTGCTTCACAATACACGATGTTAAAAATTATGATTTTTATTCCACAAATACAAAGACACGGCAACGTTGAAACAACAGGTTGTGGTCGCAGTCTTGGGAAAGTGGTCTTTTACCTTTGGTTTGTTACATAATGATTATGTGAACTTGGTTGAAGGACTTTTTAATCAATCAATTAGTGTACTACATACATTATTGTATGATTCTTTCAAAGCCTAAATAAAAAAACATTGCCTTTAATTAGTCATTAGATTATATTAAATATAATTATCATAATATAAGTATTATTAAATTAATTGCGAGAAATACCTGTAACAGATTATTGGATAAAATTAATTAGGTACACTACATGTGTTGTGAAGGGGAACTTATCCTTTAAGTTGGTAATTGAAGAACTTTTATCTGAGTGCTATTTGATGCTAAGTTTTCTATTGATTTGTATGTGCATAATTTTCTGCTCATTGATTCATATTTTACCTTCAATTTTCTTAGGTATTGATATCAAAGAAAAAACCTATAAGATTGTCAACGTCACCTAGATCTTCATTCTATATCTACTAACAGAGTAAGTTCATATAAATAGATGAAATAAAAAAGTTGCCTTCAAATTTAGACCCCTTATGAAGTTCATTCATTATGAATTTCGCTACGTGGTATTAGACTGAACACGCATATTATTGCATCAGAAATTTAACATTGATTTAGTAGCACTGACCAAAATCAAGAAAAAAGGAAATGGCACTGAAAATGTTGGAGAATTTATTCACCTTTTTACTGAAGTGTCAAAGGAAATGAGAGCAGCTAGAGGGATATCCATACTGATAAGGAAAAACTGGAGAAACAAAATTAACACTGGGAAGCTGTAAATGAAAATATCCTAACGGTCAATTTGAAACTACATGGCTAATCACCAATAAAGCAGCCCACGCTCCATCAGAGGACGAAAGAGTCAGCATTAAGCAGGAATTCTTTGACAAATTGGATAAAATCCTAGTAGATATTGGAAAAGATAGAGAAATCATAATGATAGGGGATTTCAATGGAAGAACGGAAAGGACGAATAAAAGCCCAGTTGTAGGACCATTTGGAGAAGAAATAATCAATGATAATGGCCAAAGGCTCATACATCTTTGTGAGACCCACAATCCTAGCCGTGTTGCCAGATGAAATAAAAAAAATTCGTGAGAATCGAGAAAAAAAAATCGTTAGAAATCGTGACTCTAAAAATTGCTTAATATTATAAGAAAATAAAGCACAACAATGTTCTTTTATAGATTTTTGATAAAGTAAACATGATTTTGCATCCATAAAAAATGAAACATTTTATTATTAAATCTTGTATTTTTGTTTTTGAGCAGGTATTTCTGAGAGCTGAACCTCGTTTTCACTATCCGCAGGATTGCTCATCCTAACAAGGCGTACGCTCCCTAATCTCGAGTCGGCAGCTCGTCTGCGAGTGAAGTCACCACTATCAGCAGCTGATAGTGGTGACGTCAACCGCAGACCTTGTTGGATTGCTTACGATTCAGGCTGTGCTTGTGAGCTCATTTTTTCATCGATTTTAAATTTAGAAATGATAATTTCAACGTTTATGAATTCGCTTTTTGGACTCGGATAATGCATTTTCTGCCAAGAGTTGAGGTCTGCAGTTGACGTCACAAGTCGTGGGGTCTCGTAGACTTGGCAGACACTTTCAGCTCAATAAGCAATCCTATTAGGTTAAATGTTCTCAAGGATGATACACACTACTACTACTACTACAGGATGGCCTATCCTCATAAGGCCTGTGTGTAACAAATCCCCCCTCCCCCGAGCCAAAATAGCAGTTGTGACGTAGGCAGCATGTTATTTCTCGCCTTGACGTAGGTTTTTACCATTCTTGTTACACAGCTGACGACTTAGTTATGACGTCGGCAATGGTGGCACAACACCAATATGGCGTCGATTACCAAAAACGAGGCCGATAAGCACTCCTTAGAGTGTGTATTCTCCTTGAAATGTTCTTGGGTGCGCATGTACCAGGAGCGGCGTAGCATAACTAAACATTGTATAGTAGATTTTTATTTCGATTATTTTCGATTAAACATTATATTTGATTATTGATTTGTATTACTACAGACAGAATTCGTGAGATCGTGAAATTCTGACTAAAATCGTGTAATCTTAGGAATAATCGTGAGATCCGGCAACACTGAATTCTAGAATAAACTAAAGTTGCAATTCAAGAAAATGAATGAGAGCCCACATGAACAAAACACTAATGCCATACTCAAGGACACAGTGGATACAACATAATACAATTTTGACAGTTTTAGAGATGACAGCACTGTGTTTCTATATTAGAGACGACTCGACAGCCAATTATTGAACCCTAAAGAATGTACCTTCATGACCCTTTATAAGAACATTATAGGGAGTTTAATAGAAGCCACTCAAGAAGTAATAGAAACGAAGGATAAAAATACCAACAAGAAATACTGGTGGAACGTGGAACGAAGAGACAGAGCTATTCGTCCAAGAGAAGAAGCAAAAATATCTGAAATGGATAACAACAAAAAATTAATAAGACCTTGAAGTTTATAAAGACAACTAAGAACGAGTCATGAGATAAGAACTGTGAAGAAATTAACCAGTGGCCAATCCAGAGGTGCTTTTTGGGGGGGGCACTTAACCTGAGAACGTGGTCATATAGTAGCCGCCGGAGGCTAATAGCCGTAGGCGAAAAATTTTAGGGTGCCACGCCCTTTTTTTGGGCCCTTTAACCATATTTAATATCAATATTTGGTTGTACAGGCAGTGTCGTAGCGTGGGGG